TATTGCTATTGCTATTTCTGATAGTCCAGTCTCTTCTTGAAAGCCTCCAGGGATGAAGCTCCCACAACTTCTGAAGGCAATTTCTGTTCCATGGGTGGATTGTTCTCATTGTCAGGAAATTCCTCCTTATTTCCAGGTTGAGTCAGTTTCCATCCATTATTGGTCAGTTTCCATCCATTATTCCTTGTCTGGCCTTCAGGGGCTTTGGAGAAGAGCTCAACCCCCTCCTCTCTATGGCAGCTCCTCAGATATTGGAAGATTGCTGTCATGTCTCCCCTGGTCCTTCTCTTCTCTAGACCAGCCATGCCCAGTTCCTGCAACCGTCCATCGTAGGTTTTAGCCTCCAGTCCCCTAAAATCATCCTGGTTGCTCTTCTCTGCACTCTTTCTAGAGTCTCCACATCTTTTTTTAAAGCGTGGTGACCAAAATGATCCAAGTATTCTAGGTGTGGTCTTACTAAGGCGTTTTAGGGGGGGCTCAATCCATAACATTTGACACCCCCTCCAAGAAAAGAACTACACACTTTACAAAATACACAGTAAAATAAAAAGCCACAGAAACGTAATATTCTCACACAGCCCACGCTGAAAACAAAGCAAAATGAAACCAAAGTAAAAAAAAATATATCTCAAGTTTCTAAACCAGGGGAAATAATAATTGTTCCGGACTAGTTTTAATGCAGCCTAGAATTTCAACTAGTTATTGTTCAACTGTTCTACTGGCCTGTTCTACTGTATGGAGGAACAATCTTATTTCCTGGAAATTTAATCTCGTTTCCTAAACACACACCTTAAGATTTCCCTTGCTTTTCATCCCCTAGACCACTGGTCGGCAAACTCATTAGTCAACAGAGCCAAATATCAACACTGCAACGATTGAAATTTCTTTTGAGAACCCAAAGGAGGTGTGGCCCGTTTTGTGGGAGTGGCTCGCCCGTCATGTGACCGGGTGGGCGTGGCCAACTTGGGAAATGTGGTGAAACTCACTTAACGACGCTCTTGCTTAGCAGCCAAAATTCTGGGCTCAATTGTGGTCATAAGTTCTCTTTCTTTCTTTCTGTCTTTCTTTCTTTCCCTCTCTCCCACTTTCCTTTCTTTCTTCTTTCTTTATCTCTCTCTTCCACATTCTTTTTCTTTCTTTCTCTCTGTCTGTCTGTGTCTCCGTGGCTCTTTGTCTCTCCCTCCCTCCCTCCTTCTCTGTCTCTCTCTGTCATTCTCTCGCTGTGTCTGTCTCTCCTCCCTCCCTCTGTCTCGTCACTGTGTGTGTGTGTCTGTCTGTCTGTCTCTCACTCACTCTCTGTCACTGTCTCTCTCTCCCCTCCCTCCCTTCCCTCCCTTCCTCTCTCTCTGTCACTCTGTGTGTATGTGTGTGTGTGCATCTGTCACTCATTCACTTAATCACTCACTCTGTGTGTGTGTNTTTATTCAGTAAATCAATCTAGAGACAGTGTGTGCGGGTGTCATAAAAATGCTTCTCAGAATTCCATTTTTCTACACAGACTATGCTATTAGCCCTCATGCTACCAGGATAACATTCTAGGATGGCACCAGAGGTTCCCACTAAACTTTTTTAAAAAAAATCTACAAAGATTAAATTTCTGTTCTTCTGGGAAAAACAATAGCAGTCATGTTGGCCATGAGAAAACACCAACCCCAAATCCATCTGGCCTTTATTAAGAAAAATGAAATGTTACAGTACCCATTGAACCTCCAAGAATGTGTCAATATAGTGAAATTATGGAAAACGGATCATGAAAAAGGGTGGAAGAAAGGTTAAAAAAAAAATTCTAAACCAGTTCTCTGAACTGGGTTAGTACATGTTTACATTCTTCAATGGAGAAATTCTTTTCTTGGCATGTTTCTGACCCTCATACATCTGCCCCGTCATAGATATTTCATTGTTTTCCCAATCCGCTCTTTTAAATTCTGATTTGTCTTCTTGAACAAACAGAATTAACAATGAACAACATTCTCAAATTGTTTTAAGACACACCCTCGCTTTGCAACTACAGTGGATTCCAATTTCCAGCATTCTTTTCAAATAAGGACATTACTAATCTTGGCTTAAGGGGCACGGTGGCTCAGTGGCTAAGAGGCTGAGCTTGTCGATCGGAAAGGCCGGCAGTTCGGCGGCTCGAATCCCTAGCGCCACGTAACGGAGTGAGCTCCCGTGACTTTTCCCAGCTTCTGCCAACCTAGCAGTTCGAAAGCACGTAAAAATGCAAGTAGAAAAACAGGAACCACCTTTGGTGGGAAAGTAACAGCGTTCTGTGCGCCTTCAGCATTTAGTTATGCCGGCCACATGACCACTGAGACGTCTTTAGATAGTGCTGGCTTTTCGGCTTTCAAACGGAGATGAGCGCCGCCCCCTAGAATCGGGAACCACTGGCTCATATGTGTGAGGGCAACTTTACCTTTACCTTTAATCTTGGCTTGTCATACCAATGGACATCCCCAACAGTTTTTCATTTCATTTTTTTTTTCCATTTTCCCTTTATTTGTATGCCGCCCTTTTCCCTGGGGGGACTCAGGGCGGCTCACAGTTCAAAAAGGGGGAGGGGGAAGGACAAACAATTTCCGACATAAAGACAATACATCATATTAAAAAAACACAACAGTCACACAATTCGAGTGGGGTTAGAA